CTATGCGCCTCCCCCCCCACTCCCCCCCTTACGATGAAGTGTAGTATTTGCTTCGATCTCTTTCATATTAGATCCTTCCCCAATACGATCACGCGTAGCAACTGCTCTGCTCAGTTTCATATCTGAACCGCGGTCCATCGATACCTTCTCTTCTCTAATACTCTAAAGGAAGAAGAGGGTCTCGCGTGACGGGCCCAACAGAAACTGGGCGCCGCCATGTGGGGCCGTGGAACCATTTTCCCGTTAGGCGCTTTTTTTTGTTGGGGCCGTGGATCTATTTTTCTACCAAGCGCCTTTTTGTTGGGGACAAGTCGCGCGCGACCCCGCGAATGTGAAGTGGTTGTTGCACGTCGCAAAGATCTACGTCCATTGACCCGTTTTCCCGCCAGGCGCATGTCGTGAAGATGTACGTCCACTATTTTTGTCGCTCCACCCAGGGAATGCGAATCGGTCGAAGATACAGCGACACTTTTGTGTCGTCGTTTTTTTGGTTCGACTGCGCGGCTGCTTGCTGAAAGTGTCGGTGTTTTAAGCGGGAGGAGCGGGAGGAGTGGGAGGAAGGGTGAGAAAAGGAGCGGGAAAAGGAGGAGTGGGAGGCGGAGCGGGAGGAGGAGCGGGAGGAGGAGCGGGAGAAGGAGCGGGAGGGGAAACGGGAAGGGGCGGAGGAGCCGAGGGAGGAGGAGCGGGGGAAGGAGGAGCGGGAGGGGAAATGGGGAGGGGGTTAGGAGGGAGAGAAGGACCACGTGAGGAAACGGGAAGGGGCGGAGGAGGCGGGAGGAGGGGTAAAAAGACCGGGAGGAGGAGCGGGAGGGGGTTCACCAACACGCATGAGGCGCATGAGCGGGAGGAGATATATGTGGAGGAGGAAAATCGGGAGGAGCGCGAGGAGCGCGAGGAGGAGCGCGAGGAGGAGCGCGAGAAGGAGCGGGAGGAGGAACCGGGGAAAGAGTAGGAGAAGCAGCAAGGGAGCAGCACGAGGGGGAGCGAGAGAAGGAGATGGAGGAGGATATGGAGGAGGAGCAGGAGAAGGAGCCGGAGCGGGACTGTGGCGGGATCTTTGTCACATTGTTTGGCGGAGCAGGAGCGGGAGGGGGAGGAGGAGGAGGAGGAGGAGCGGGAGGAGGAGCGGGAGAAGGAGCGGGAGCGGGGCTATGGCGGGATATTTGTCACATTGTTTGGAGGAGGAGGAGAGGCAGGAGGAGTGGGAGGATTGGGAGAAGGGACAGGAGGAGGAGTGGGAGAAGGAGCGGGAGCATTGCAAGGGGAAACGGAAAGGGGTGGAGGAGGTGTGGGTGGAGGAGCGGGAGGAGGAGTGGGAGGAGCGGCAGGGAAAACGGTGAGGCGGTTAGTAGCGGGACGAGCGCAAGGGGAAATGGGAACGAGCAAGGGAAGCGCCAGAGGAGGAGCGGGAGAAGGAACGTAAGAGTTCAAAGAGGGGGGGGGGAAGGGAAGGTGGACATTGATTGATTGATTGATTGATTGATCGATCCAAAAAAAAAAAAAAAGATCTCCCCGGTCTCCTTCTTTGTTTTTGTTTTTCAATCAATCAAGTCAACCACGTTCTAGTCGTAGATTCATTCAATTTTCCTCATCGGGGAAGTACCATGAGACCAATGTATTTCCATGTTCAAGCTGAAGATTCATTAGCAAAATGGGGTTGAATCTTCCGGCGCGCGAGTGTGTGTTTGTGTAGGAGGGAGAGAGAGAGAGAGAGAGAGAGAGAGAGATTTCCAGCCATGCACATAGACATATAGAGAGAGGCTACTATGTGTGTGTGTGTGTGTGTCCGAGAGAGAGAGAGAGAGAGAGAGAGAGAGAGAGAGAGAGAGAGAGAGAGAGAGAGAGAGAGAGATTTCCAGCCATGCACACAGACGGATAGAGAGAGGCTTCTATGTGTGTGTGTGTGTGTGTCAGAGGGAGAGAGAGATCGAGATCGAGATCGAGATCGAGATCGAGAGAGAGAGAGAGAGAGAGAGAGAGAGAGAGAGAGAGAGAGAGAGTT